TAATATAAAAGTGCGTTACACTTTCATTAACTAGTCATTTAAAAATTGTGATTAATTGAGATTTGATCATTTTCCATTGAGGCACGTGCAGGGCGTCCATAATTATTGATACTTGTTCGTACTTGTTTCAAACATTACGAGATTCATTATTTTTAACAATGCCTTGAAGTATTTCGATTCATGCATTTTTTAACGCATTTATAATATATCGATGTAAATATTGTACGAACCCTCTGTTGTGCCTTAAACGTGTAGCCACATTTAAAACGTTATAAAAGGTGCAGTTATAATTACGACGATTACACTACAAACTTCGCTTCAGTGCTCAATTTTTTATCTACTAAAATACATTTTCTATTATATTATTAACGTACATATATATATATACATATTGTATATACTTAAGAATTATATGAGAACTGAATGCAAGACACAAAATTTCTTTATTGCCAAATTTTCGGAACCGTTAATTAATTAAGTTTTCCCGACTGAAACAATGTAACTTTTTATAATGTACTAGAAATAAATCATTTATTATACAATTATACCTATCGATCGAAGGAGTTTTCCGTTCAATACGTGGCTCTACCATTAGCATTAATGCGCAACGTTTTACATCAAACAAACAAGAATATCTACCCGAGCATACATGTATAATTTCATTGCATGTGTGCGTCATGTACCAGGAACTATCAACCATCTGAACATTTTTATGCGACGCGGTCTTTTATGTATACTTTTATCTACGTATCATTTAAATGTTGTACAAACACGAATGAATTAAACGGACAGAAATTATTTTTTACAAAAATTCGTCTGGTTGTTAATTAACCGGTTCATACAATTATAGTTTTATAAAATATTAGTATTAATCGATCAGGTGCTAGTGACATTTGGAAGTCTATATTCTGCAGAAACTTACCTCTGGCGTTGGCTAGTTCGCCTTCCGGATGCGCCATGCGTTGCATAGCCGCGGGTGCGATGCCGATCGGAATCGAGAGTTTCTCACCTAAAACTACGGTGCTCAAGTCCCTTTTCGAGACATTCCTTAAAAATTTAGGCCTTATTCTATACCTGCGAACCGTGACAAATATTTATTAACGAAAACGTTCTCGGATAACGTTAAAATAATAATAATAATAAATTTATTACAATAAAAATTAAATACAATATAAATGGGAGCATCCCTTTAGTTAACATGAGAACGTAAGTAATACATAGGAAAAAAGAAAGAATAACAAGTTCAGTTTTAAATCCGGATCACGAAATAAGCCCAAACATAAATGAAGTTATCAAAAAATCAAAAGAATTATTAAACTATTATAAATTATAATAATATATAATATTAAATTATTAAACGTGTACCGTGACGGAAAAAACTTGAGAATCACTGTTTTAATACGTACTTTTTAAATGCCTCTGTATTCAATTTTAAAGTGTATTGTTCACCCGCGCCGGAATTGTAATAATCCCTCACGGCGGGTGTCAGATGTTTCTCGGCATACTTTTCGAAATCCTCGATACAAATCATTGATTGGGCCATGGCTTCTAAACCGGGAAAACACGAAATTAATTTTCCACGAACAATAATTGATACAATAATTCGTCAAGTATTTTTTAAAGAGAATTACCGTTTTAAATTAGTAAATACTGTTTCTTCCAACAAATTAATGAACTGTACACCTCGCGCTAGTTGAAACGTAAACTGAGAAAGATCCGCGAAAAATTGTACACTTAGATGCCCGACAGACGTTCCCGCTTCACTGTCGAACGGCTACTTCGCGAGTCAATCGATTTTTCAACTCGGAAAACATACGTTTAAATGGATACAGTGATCTCGACCAGCTGGTCGTGCAACTAGTGACCGCAGTCGACGCGAAATCATTCAGATAACCCTCGTAGACCCGACCCAATATTGCTGATAAAATTATTTGCTCTCTGTTACTTGCCTTTTTGTACGCTTATTGACTCTGTTTATCTTCGTAGAATTTTCATCAAAGACGGATGTGTCTTATTGTTAAATGCCCCGGCAGATGAAACGCGCTCTTGTGTTTCTTAATCAAAACCCGATGTAATTAAATAATTATTACCAAGAGATAGACATTACTACACAGAATTATAATTTATTTGAAAGATTATATTCTAACAATGCTGTCATTCTATAACTAGATTTTATTATGTAAAAAATGATTACGCAGAGGAAGATCGTAATTTTGCAACAAACCGCGAACGAGGTATATCTACTGTGAAGGTATATATACTGTAAAAAAGAAAAACAATTTATGTAACAACGAGAAATAAGTCAGTCTCAATGGCGTCTCTTCAGGCGTTCGGATATGATCCACGCGCTTTGTGTCGTAACTTTTGCATGCTTGCAAACGTACGATTTGTACGCACTTTAGATTATATCGCACGATTGAACTAGATTGTCACGTTCAAACGAATGAAGTACTTAATTGATGGCCTAAAAATTCCCCCGAATCAGCACTTACGATTTACAACTTTTGATTAAGTCCGATTAAAAAATTTACTAGTTAAGCCTTCTTTATAATCTATATTTGCGTCGTATTAAAAATACAATCATTTGGGAATCAGAACATTAAAAACATAAGAATTTCATACATAGTTCCTTATCTGCATCGTATTACATATATTACAAAATAAAATAAAAATTGGTCATTTGGGAATTAAAGGACTAACAGCATAAGAATTCTATATAATTGTCTATAATATAATTCTCTGTCTGCGTGGTGTTAAAAATAAAAATGAATCATTTGGGAATTAACAAAACAAGATCAAAAGAATTCCATACAGTTGTCCATATAGTAGCGTTGAATTAACAGTTAACTGATTTGGTAATCAGAGGATTAAGAACATAAGAATTCCATATAGTTCTTTATCTGCGTGGTATTAAAAATAAAACTTTGCCATTTAGAAATTAGGAGATCAAGGAGATAATTTACCTTCATTGAAGATGACTGGCATTAGATTGTATTAACGATTCGCTTCATACGAATTCCATGTAGCAGACACGTGCGATTTCGTGACTCGTGACTGTCGGAAGTTGCACAACTTGAAACTTTGGATTCTGATGTGAATCGAAACGAAATTTCACGGATGATGGAAAAAAGTGATACCGATAAGCTCAAATTATGCAACTCTCTCTCTTTCTGGGCGCAGTTTCTCGTCTACAAAATATCTTCAACAAGTCATAAAAACAATTGTACACGTGCTCGTCGGTTTTTCTGCAACCGGTCATCTTTTTTCCCTTTCGCGTTAGGCAAAAAAGTTTGATAATCAAACAAGTGAACTTCAAACCGTTTCGATCTATAAACGCACGAAGTTGATGAACCTTGAAAAATGTTCCACGTACGAAATCATGCCAAGTAATATCAGTGAATGCAAGCGGAATAAAACAAACGTACGTATAAACAAATAGCGAGACCGGGAAGTTATGGAAGAGGATGATAAACAGGCCATGAATAACGCTATCGTGTCTTTTTAAACTGTACTTTATTACATTCTGTTAGAAATAATACACAAAGGATTCTCGGGCGCGGCGAAGCTTTTCGCGTCGATCAACACACGAGTTGATCTCGATGAAGAAATTCGGGAACCCCGTAGATCGTTTAGCGAACCGTTGTCTGCGACACCCTCTCGATGGAAATGATACAATAGACAATATACAATCTTAATTAATACAGTATTTATATGAATGAAAATCTGCGAGGGATTCACGTGTATAGAAGAGTGCATTTCCTTTTTAATTTGTTTCTCGTTCTCGTGTTTATACTTGCTGCTTACTCGAAGTCGCAGACTCGGTTGGCTCGATTCGCGATTCGGTTAACGTTCAAGTAAGTGAAATGCTTACGTAAATGCGCCTATTTTAAAAACGGATAATGTCGGAAAACGACGTGAGCACTTATCTTCATTTTCTAGTCGCCCTCCTAAAGCGTGTTCTTACGCAGTTACGTATTTTATCTGTCGCGTCCACTATTTTCGTTTTCTTATTTATTACTTAGATTCGTTCATAGAAATTAGGAATATTCAGTGTTTCTTTTGTTTTCGTATCTTTTTTGGTATTTACTTTCGTTTGAACGTCGATATTTGGTGCTCGATTGCAAAGCGAGTGTCGATTTTTTCCGGTTTAGATCAGTTCCTTACAATCCTATACGCTGCATTCGTCCGTTATTTAGAAAATATAATGAATGCGTCTCGTCTTCGATATTTTCACGATCGTTCCCGTGTCTTCTCTAACGTGCGATTCGGGAAATTCACCTTTAAAATATTGCATTCCGTCTTCTCGTCTTTCCTTATAGAGGATTTCTCTTATTTCTTAAAAATCGAGTAAGCAGACTCAGAGCGACGATCCTCTACAAGAGGAATAGGTCTGCAGCCTCTGGTGACCCAAGAGAGATGATCCAAGAAGAATCACGCTCGAAGCCAGTGGAAACGAGGAGGCTCGAAGTTAACGATCTGTAGAATGATTGAACTGCACATACCGCGAGCCGATGTACTATTCGTTCGATGTAAACGTGACGATTAAAAGCACGTAAATGGATATCAATCATCGTGCCTCTTGCTTGTTGGATACCGCGGTTTAACGATACCGACTCTTTACAGAAGTTATTAAAACAAATCGTAGTCCACGAAACAATTGAATCTAACAACATCGTCAGTTTTTCTTAGAATCATTGATCCTTCGATTAGCGTAACCAAAGGAATAGATTTAAATAGAAACCGATTTGAAGAAATGTGATTTGACTCAGGCGCGGATTAAAGGAGCTTCAGCCCCGGATCGCAACATCTAAAGAACCCCGCGAGCTAGAATAAGAAAATATATTGCGCACACATAATTTAATTCGTAATTTTTAATATGTGAATATAAAAAGAAAATTTTTACAGTAATGAATTGAAAAATAATAACATAGTTTTTATTTATATTCACAAAATGATCAGTTTTTACTGCCCTTAAGTGGGTCGCGTATTTATTTTAGCTCCGGACATCGTGAATTTTTAATCCGCCTCTGATTTGACTATATTCGTCCTGCGAATATCTTCGACGTTTCGACAACTCGGGAACCGAGTCCGAAAGAGCGCAATGCTCACAGACCGAAATCAATTGTTTTATTTGAGGAGTCGCCCAAACACCGCAATTTTTGGCAGTCGCTTCCAATACGTTTATATAAATACTTAAAACCATTACTTCTCCTCCTTGTCCTTCCCCGTTCGTGAATTCAATCGTAACGGCGAACACGTTGACTGCAGGTCATTCGATATTTTTAGATGATACAGTGTCTCGGTCCTAATATAGGACGATGAAAATTAAATATTCTATGTGCACATGTTAGGTATCGTATAATTATATCGCAAGCGTAACGATTACAATAAATTATTCTACGACGTCGACTTCCGGCGAGAGATCAGCTTGAAACCGACTGGCTCGATTAAACGAGTTGTCAACGCTCTCATTGTCTGACGCGTCTAGCGGAATTCCACGCACCGTTTTTTCTCTGTCACGTTTCATTATCTCCGAAACGCTCGTTTCACAAGGAGAGGGAGAAGGCAATCAGTTCTCCGACAACGAATCGAACCACGATTTCGAGCTTTACATAATTGTCCCGTATCTACTGATTAGAATCCCACGTGATCTCGACGTCTCTCTCTCTCTCTCTCTCTCTCTCTCTCTCTCTCTCTCGACATTCCGGTTTACATTCCGATGGTTTACTTGGTCCGCACGCAAGGCGTCAGATGGAAAGAAACCACAAGCTCCGAGAAAATTACGCTTTCCTTATGCTAATAATTTTTCCAATTTTCTTCAGCCCTGCTACGATTTCATCTTTTTCTCCTCGTTACCCTGAATCAACGACGATCGTATCGTTGATGACATTTGCTCTTGAGTGATGAAACAGTAGATAGAATTATGTTTGTTATCATTTCTTCGTTTATTGTAATTCATTCCTTTAGACACGTGCTGAGAACCGTAACAGGGTAATCATTTTGGTATCTTGAGCCGCTTTGTTACAGCATATATTAATGAAGTCAGCTTCCATGCATCGAAAGTGTACAGAGTACAGGCAGAGGACTTCTTCAGTAAATCAGAATTTGATTCGTTAATCCCAAATCAGACCACGTAATCGTGTCTATTAGATCTTGCATAAATTTATTTATAAAATAAATCCATGCATTTAATCCAATGCATTTATTTATAAAATAAAAGACAATTTATTCAGCGCCCGGCAGAAGCTAAATTGCGAAAGAAAGGATTTAAGCGAAGTTAACGGGCACTTGCATTACACTTTGCAATCCAATTTCTCCCCTCGCATGAAAAAAGGCAGTTTGGAATAAATTAACACATCACGATACTGCTAAATCGATCCTTCATAACGTGCTGCACGCTCTTTCACTATCGGATTTATCGATCACTACGTGAAAAGCAACAACGTGCGGTGAACTCTCGTTCAACTGCATCGGAAGAGTTAATGTAAATCGTAGTATTCGATCAATTTTTAACACTAGATTGCCTAGATTTGACTCATTGTTCAAGACTTGAATTTCAAGTATCATGCAAAAGAAATAAAAATAAGTGCGTCTGTGTTAAATGTAATAAAAAAATTTACGGACAATGTATTTTGAAAACAAAATACGTATGTAAAAATTGTTTTGAATAAAGTTTCTTTAAAATAAAATTGTATTTTTTAAAAAGACTTCAATTTCAATACTTCAGGCAAAATACGTACATATCCAACATTCGGCAATCTAGTGTTAAGGTTTTTCCTAATCTCTAGAAGGAAATCTTTATTTCTCGTTAATGAATTGCCTGAATGAATTCTACTTCGGATGAGACAAATTCATGACCGATTCCGTTGGATGAAAGTAACGCTTGAAACAGAAGAACGTAGATGTACCGATAATGGAGCGCAAAGGATTGGCAATGAAATCAGTATGCGAGTAAATTAGTATAAATACATTGACCGCTTAACGAGGTAGCTTTATTGTTGAATTTCTCTTCCGTTATATCTCTCCTCTATCTTTTATCGATCTTTTCGTTTTGTTCGTTTTATTCCTTTCGAAACAGCCTCGGAGGAAATTGTCAAAGGCAAATGAGAAACGCGAGCACCGAGAAGCCGACAGAGCTGGTCGTTTTGCTAATACGACGATAATAAAGACGGAGACGTATGTCGTTACAAATTGGTATCATGGAAGTCTTATTTAAGGATGTATTGGATATACAGTCAATCTCAAAAGTAAAGTATTCCCAAAAATTTCTAAAAATGCTTCAAATAAAAGTTACTTTTCTTCTAACTTCGATATTTAATGAGTTACATATGATTATATGGCATTTTATTGATGTTGACAAAATCCGACCATCCCAACGTCGAAATGGCGAACTTTTGACAAAAAATTTCGTTTTTCTTCAATAACTCCTAAACTGTTGATTGTACGAGAAAATTGCATAGGACCTTTCTTGTAG